AGGCAGCAACTTTAGGCCACTTTGCAAACCTAGTGGAGCTGAAATGTGGAGCAATTGCGTCGTAGACCCGATGAACGTACTTCTTTTCGATCTCGGGCGTTGATTTAACGCTCGAAGAATTTTCGTTTTCTCTGGTTGAAACTGATTGAAGAAGCTCAACTTCTTCTTCTCCTTGATCATCTCTTACAAACTCCCTAGCATTACCTTTCACTTTGATTTCTCGCATTTGAGTTGTGGTTACTGAATTAAACCCAGAAAATTGAAGATTTCGAGCTTTTGAACAAGTTCTAATACTTCTTCTCAGAACATCCAAAATCATGAGCCAATAACAACAGATGAGCTAAAGCGCCATGAATCTACAGAGTAAAGTGCAGCCCGGGAAATCAAATTACTAACTCAACAGAAATTTTTCCAATCGAATATCAAACCTAAGCTTCGAAATATACATCAAGTTCAAAATCGCAGTAAGTAGCATTATAAATCAAATCAATTCAATTCAATCGGAGAAGAGGGAAGCTTACAGAATCAAGAAGAAAAGCGGAGCAAAGGAATTGTGGAAGGAGATTGGAAGTGTCGGTTCGTGATCTGAAACGGAAGGTAGATTTTAGGGTTTTGGGAAGGGGAACTGACTGATATTTTGAGATCAGTACTCCATGTATATTTAGTTGACGACATTGAACCCATTCTAGGCAGGTCAAGCCCGGTCCGGCCTACATTGAATCTATTGGTTATCCAAACCCGTTCATAGTTTTAACGGGTTTTGGTTGAATTTTTGTATCTATATAAATAAATGAGTTTTGATGGATTGTCCTATTTGAGTATAGATTTAATGGATAAACTCATTAGAATCATAGATAACCCACGAGTTTTTCATATAAAAATAAAAAAGACTAATATATATTACTATAATAAAGTACGCTAAAAATTAGAACTTTTTCTGCTAAAAAATTAGGGTTTCTTTTGTATCGGCTAAAAAATTAGGGTTTTATATAACTTATATAAATATGAGCCATTTCCTTAGTATTGGTTCGCATGTTCTAATCAAATACCGGAGTCGGCTTCTTCCTAAACATGTCCAAGCTTTACTTTATACGAGATCCTGATTATTTGGTTTTAAAACTGATAAAAAGGTAAATTTATCATTTACAT